GCGTCAACTGCCTGCCGGGACAACGGGATGTGGATGCTGCCATCCGCATGGTGGGAGAGGCCAGCAAGAGGCTGCTGGCAGATTCGGTGAGCTGAGCAGGGGCGGGAGGAGAAAGGGAAAGCCTTGTAGAAGGGCAAACAGGTCTGTCCACACCAGCTTCCTCTGCAGCATATCCCCAAGCATGTGCAAAACCTTCATCCTCTGTCTCCATCCCCCTCGCTACCTCTCCTAACTTTTCTCCCTGCCTCCAGTTCCCTCCCAGCACCAAGAGCTTCCAGGAGGCGCAGAGCCAGCTGAACCGGGCGGCTGCAGGGCTGAACCAGTCAGCCAAGGAGCTGGTGCAGGCATCGCGTGGCACCCCTCAAGACCTGGCCAAGTCCTCTGGCAAATTTGGGCAGGACTTCAATGAGTTCTTGCAGGCGGGAGTGGAGATGGCCAGCCAGTCCCCGGTAAGAGCAAACACCTGTTGGGGGTTCCTGGGTACTGTGAGGGGTTTGGGGTGCCTGAGAAGGCAGCTGGCTGGAGGCAGGTTAGCCTGGCAGTGGTGATTAGGCTGGCTGTGGCAAACACAGCTGGTGGGATGTGGTCCGGGGCTGTGCAAAGCAGCAGCAACAGGGAGGAAGTGGCTTGGGGTTGTTCAGCAAGAGTTACCGCCATATTCTTGCTGTTGGTGAACAAGTTTGATGAAGGGAACCGGCTCAGCTTGAAAACCACTGGAGAAAACCCTGAGTGGGTGTGGAGCTTGGAAGTCTGCTGCAGCTAAACTCTTTTTGTTTCCTTGCAGAGTAAGGAAGACCAGGCGCAGGTGGTGTCGAACTTGAAGAGCATCTCCATGTCCTCCAGCAAGCTGTTGCTGGCTGCAAAGGCGCTGTCCGCCGACCCTGCAGCCCCCAACCTCAAGAATCAGCTGGCAGCAGCAGCACGGTAGGAAGAACCACTCCCTGTGAGCTGTTTGCTGTAGCAGTGGGCCCAGGTGGCGGGGCTGGTGTTGATCCGTGGGTCTTTCTCCCTGTCCCCATCAGGGCCGTGACCGACAGCATTAACCAGCTGATCACCATGTGCACCCAGCAGGCACCAGGCCAGAAGGAGTGCGACAACGCCCTGCGTGAGCTGGAGGTGAGAAACCACATCTTGACGAAGCAGTGGAGGGGCTGAGATGGCTGGGTGATGAGGTGGGGGAGGAGGGAGCTGCACCCTGCTGCAAGGGGCAGGAGGGAGCAAAGAGGAGATGCCAGTGGAAGGCACGAACCACTCCCCTGAATCATGTGTCCCTACAGACGGTGAAGGAACTGTTAGAGAACCCCACCCAGACCGTCAATGATATGTCCTACTTCAACTGCCTTGACAGTGTTATGGAGAACTCCAAGGTGAGCTCTGAGCTGGAGGTGGAGGTTTGGAGAAGGATGGGGAAGTCTGGGAAGCATGTTGGGCAAAGGAAAAGGTAGTTCCACCCCTGTTAATGAAACATACTGACTTCTGAGCCTTGGAGCATAGTGCAGGAGTAGGTGGTGGTCTCTGACTAGTGCATGGTATGTCCTGCAGGTGCTGGGAGAGTCCATGGCTGGCATCTCCCAGAATGCCAAGAACAGCAAACTGCCCGAGTTTGGTGACTCCATCAGTGCTGCCTCCAAAGCTCTGTGCGGGCTGACAGAAGCAGCTGCACAGGTGAGACACGTTTGGTCCCAGCCCTCATTGTTACCCCTGATGCATAGTTGCCATATGCATCTCTCTCCTGCCCCTACAAGCCTGGCCCCCTGGTATGGTGCTGCCAGCCTCCTCTGTAGCCCATGCCCACTCTGGGCCACCCCACTGTTCTTGAGTTCTCACCACCTCTCTCCTGATTCTAGGCTGCCTACCTTGTGGGTGTCTCGGACCCCAACAGCCAGGCTGGACAGCAGGGCTTGGTAGACCCCACTCAGTTTGCCAGAGCTAACCAAGCTATCCAGATGGCCTGCCAGAACCTGGTGGACCCTGCTTGCACCCAGTCCCAGGTGAGCATGAGATGGGGCACCGTTACGGGCATTTTCTTGGACGAAAGGGAATTCAAAGCTATTTGGAAGAGCTGCTTCTCAAGAGCTGGCCAAGATTATGGCTTGTGTTTCATCAGCTGTTTGAGGAACTAGCTGTCAGCTTTGGTGCAATGGTGACAGTTCAGATGAGGGGCTGTATGGACATGCAGGACCTTGGCAGTCCATCTAGGATCCCAAGAAAGAACTCTGCTCCCTGGTGCCCAACATGGGGCTGGTGGGAAGGGAGAGAGCTGGAGGGATGGGACATCCTGGTGGAGCCTCATCCTGCTCTTCCCCACAGGTGCTGTCAGCAGCCACCATCGTAGCGAAGCACACCTCGGCCCTGTGCAACACCTGCCGCCTGGCCTCCTCCCGCACCGCCAACCCTGTGGCCAAGCGCCAGTTTGTCCAGTCAGCCAAGGAGGTGGCCAACAGCACGGCCAACCTGGTGAAGACCATCAAGGTGTGGTCTCCCTGCTGGGGCACCGTGGTGGGGATGGGACGTGGGGCACGGTGTGGGTTGGGTAACTTCTCTGATCTCTCCACGCCAGGCGCTGGATGGTGACTTCAACGAGGAGAACCGGGAGCGGTGCCGCGCTGCCACCGCCCCTCTCATAGAGGCTGTGGATAACCTGACAGCTTTTGCCTCCAACCCAGAGTTTGCCACTGTTCCTGCCCAGATCAGCCCAGAGGTGAGATGCCACGGGGGCTGGGAGAGTGATGGGGGCTGCCAGAGATTGAGGAGGAGCTCCTGAGCTTGTGATGGAGACCCAGTGTGGGGATAGTGCCTTGGGAGGGTGGCAAGCCTTGACTTCGAGGGGCTGCTCTGAGCTGAGGGTCATGAGAGTGGGGGGTAACTTCCCAGGCACAGTCCCTCACATGCATCACTGGTCCATCACTGGGAACCTAATAAAGTTCAGTAAAGGCAAGTGCAGGGTCCTGCACCTAGGGAGGAATAACCTCAGGCACCAGTGCAGGTTAGAGGTTTGCCTGCTGGAAAGGAGCTCTGTGAAGGACCTGGGAGTCCTGCTGGGCAATAATGGCCCAGCAATATACCCTTGTGGCCAAGAAGGTAAATAACATCCTGGGGTGCATTAAGAAGAGTGTGACCAGCAAGTTGAGGGGCATCTTCTTCCCCCTTTGCCCTAGTGAGGCCAGAGGCCACATCTGGAGTAATGTGTCCAGTTCTGGGCCCCCAGTACAAGAAAGACAAAGAACTACTGGAAAGAGGGCTACAAAGTTGATCAGGGCACTGAAACATCTGTCTTATGAGCCTTCATCACCTTATGAAGACCTGGGTCTGTTTAGCCAGGAGAAGGCTGAGAGGAGATCTTATAAATGCTTAAAAATAGCTAAAGTTCACGTGTCAAGAGCGTGGGGACAGAATCTTTTCAGGGGTGACCCAGCTGGGCAAGGGGCAACAGGCACAAACTGAAACACAGGAAATACCATCTGAACATGAGGATAAAATTTACCGTGAGGGTGACAGAGCACTGGAACAGGCTTCCCAGGAAGGCTGTGGAGTCTCCTTCTGTGGAGATACTCAAAACCTGCCTGGATGCCATCCCGTGCAACCTGTTTTTGCAGATGATCTCCAGAGTTCCCTTTCAGCCCCTGCCATTCTCTGATCTCCTTTCACAGGGCCGCAGAGCCATGGAGCCCATTGTCTCTTCAGCCAAGACCATGCTGGAGAGCTCTGCTGGCCTCATCCAGACCGCCCGCTCCCTGGCCGTCAACCCCAAGGACCCGCCGCAGTGGTCGGTGCTGGCTGGACACTCTCGCACCGTCTCGGACTCCATCAAGAAGCTGATCACCAACATGAGGTGAGGCGAGACCTGCCCTTGGCCACAGCCCCATCCCTGCTGGCAGGTACCCCTGCTTTGAACTAACATCTCTGAGGATGTTTTGTCTCGTCTTGTCCTTGTCTGCTGCCGATGGGTGGAGGCAAGGGGTGGGGCAGAAGATGCTGTCCCTCTTGTCCTGCACTCGAGCTGCTCCTCCATCCCTGGCATTGGTTGATGGGAATGCGTGCCAGCATGCTGGGTCTCTATGATGCCAGGTTGCTGGGGTCAAAGGGGTGGCATAACTGATTCCTCTGTCATGCAGGGACAAAGCTCCAGGACAGCGGGAGTGTGATGAAGCCATCGAAGTCCTGAACAGATGCATGCGGGAGGTGGACCAGGCCTCCCTTGCTGCCATCAGCCAGCAGCTGGCCCCCCGAGAAGACATCTCCCAGGAGGTGGGTCAGGGAAGTGCTGCTGCAAGGCTCAACAGGGGCAGGCGTCCTTTCCTCAGGCTCCCAGCAGGACCCTAGCCCTGCTGCAGCCTCACGCGATGCCCTCTTTTTGCAACAGGCTTTGCACAACCAGATGATCACAGCTGTCCAGGAGATCAGCAACCTGATCGAGCCTGTGGCCAGCGCGGCACGGGCCGAGGCCTCGCAGCTGGGGCACAAGGTAACACAGGGATAGGGAGCTGCTGACAAGGCACTCAGTGCACATGGAGGAGCTTGTGGTGGGAGGGAAGGCACAAGGGAGCTGGGGCTGGAAGCTGCTGATGCTGATGCTGCTCTTCCGTAGGTGTCCCAGATGGCACAGTACTTTGAGCCGCTCATTATGGCGGCTGGGAGCTGCCTCCAAAACACCCAACCACCAGCAGCAGATGAACCTCCTGGACCAGACCAAAACGCTGGCTGAGTCTGCCTTGCAGATGCTGTATACAGCCAAGGAGGCTGGTGGGAACCCCAAGGTGAGCAGGAGCACATGTCAGTGGGATGCTCCCCTTTGCATGTGGGTGCTGTGTGATGCACATGTGTGTGCCAGACACGGGAACCTGAGGTAAGTGTGCAGCATCCCTGTCAGGATGGGAGCTGCTGCCCGCATATCTTCACTCTTGCTCATCTTTGCAGCAAGCTGCCCACACCCAGGAAGCTCTGGAGGAGGCTGTGCAGATGATGAAGGAAGCAGTGGAGGACCTGACCACCACCCTGAATGAGGCAGCCAGCGCTGCAGGTGTTGTCGGGGGCATGGTGGACTCCATCACCCAGGCCATCAACCAGGTGAGGGGAGGGTGGAGTGGACCTGGCTAGGGCTATGGGTGGAAGAGACGAACAGTCAGGGTGAAACCCTACAAAGTATTTGGACTGGAGCTGGAGCCAGAGTCTCATGATTGTCTCTTTCAGCTGGATGAGGGACCAATGGGCGAGCCAGAGGGCAGCTTTGTGGACTACCAGACCACCATGGTGAAGACAGCCAAGGCCATTGCAGTGACTGTGCAGGAGATGGTGGGTGCAAGCAAGCCTAATACTGCAGGAAGCAGTGCCTGCCTCCCAAGCAGGGTGACTACCCTCCTTGCTTGCCCATCCCAGCACTGGTCCCCTCCAACTCCTACTTTTCTTCCACCGACAGGTCACTAAATCCACCACCAACCCAGACGAGCTGGGCATACTGGCCAACCAGCTCACCAACGACTATGGGCAGCTGGCACAAGAGGCCAAGCTGGCTGCCCTCACTGCTGAGAATGAGGAGGTGAGAGCATGGGGGAGAGTGCTGGAGTTGTGCTGTGGGCCAGAGCAGGGTCTGCTGAGGTGTGAGAGCAGAGGACAGGGACACTCAAACCTCCTGACAGCTGGGGACAGGAAACATTCCCTGCACACCTCCCCTGCAAGACAGTGTGCAAATGTGGAGCAATACCTCCTTTCCATGTTCCCCCTCTGGAGTGGGAGGTTTGGGATGGAGGAGCTGGGTGGGAGTGGCTGGTGTTTCCCAGCAGGTACCACTGATGCTGGGTCTCTCACACATGTATTCCCCTCCAGATTGGCTCCCACATCAAGCGCCGGGTGCAGGAGCTGGGTCACGGCTGCTCCTGACAGCTGGGGACAGGAAACATTCCCTGCACACCTCCCCTGCAAGACAGTGTGCAAATGTGGAGCAATACCTCCTTTCCATGTTCCCCCTCTGGAGTGGGAGGTTTGGGATGGAGGAGCTGGGTGGGAGTGGCTGGTGTTTCCCAGCAGGTACCACTGATGCTGGGTCTCTCACACATGTATTCCCCTCCAGATTGGCTCCCACATCAAGCGCCGGGTGCAGGAGCTGGGTCACGGCTGTGCCGCCCTGGTCACCAAGGCTGGAGCCCTGCAGTGCAGCCCCAGCGATGCCTACACCAAGAAGGAGCTGATAGAGAGTGCACGCAAGGTTTCTGAGAAGGTAAGTGGCCCAGAGAGAAATTACGACAGCATGGCGAGGTGGGAGGGATGCTGTATTGAGCCATATGCTCTTGGAGCCAGCATGCTAGGTTCTCCCTGAGTCCTGGTGGGCTCTGCCACCTCTCTCAGCTCACCCTGCCCAGCTGACAGGGTGGAGGTTGGATCCCCCTCTCCAGGCACCCGTAACTGTTGTTTGTGCTTTGGTGGGTGAATGTTGTCTCCAGGTGCTGCCTGCTGTTGTGCCAATGAAAGCCTGCCAAGAGAGACTGATTTACATGCTGGTGGTAGCTCAAATCAGCCCTTGTAGCACTGGGCATAGTGTTTGCTCCATCTCCAGCCAAGCTAGCTTCTCTTTCTGGGTGATGGATCTACCCCTTACCTTCTGGCATGGTGGACAGCATTCTGTCCATTATTCAGTCTGAAGATCAGACTTTTGAGTAACAGATGAAGATATGGCTAAAAACTGTGCTTGGAGAGCATAAAGGAGTGGTGCTTGTCAGCAAAATCATGAAAGCAAGACAAACACTTGTTCATCATGCCAGGCATGTGCCTGCATGCTCAGGACCTCCTGCAGATTCTTCCTTTCCAAGATTGCTTTCCATCAGGAAACTTGTTCTCCCGTGAGTGCTTGCCCAAGAACAGATACTGAGCTTAGCAGCTAAAGAGGGAATGAGCTGTGATGTTCTGTTGCCCATCATGGTAACCTTATTTATTTGAAAACTACTAGAGTCCAATACCTTCTGAACCCCCAAACACAATAGTCACAAAGTAAAAATAAATAACTGGAAGCTAAGAAGCAGTGTCCAGACCACACAATTCCCAGTTCCTTTCTTTGGTATGGAGCAGCTTCATCCTGGGAGGTGTCAGAGAAGGTGTGTGCAGCAGGGGTTGCCTGAACCTGTTCTGATGCCCCAGTCACCCTACTTGTATCCTACAGGTGTCTCACGTGCTGGCAGCTCTTCAGGCTGGGAACCGTGGGACACAAGCCTGCATCACAGCAGCCAGTGCTGTCTCTGGCATCATTGCTGACCTCGACACCACCATCATGTTTGCCACGGCAGGAACCCTCAACCGGGAGAACTCTGAGACCTTTGCAGACCACAGGTACCCAGGCACCTCGCTCAGCCTCTGCTCAGCTCAGAGATGGGGGTGGTCAGGCTCTGTCCCATGGTCTCCTGTCTTTCTGAGTGGTGGACCAGCCCCAAGGAGAGCTGCAAGTTCAGCTCACACACACAGAATCACAGAAGAGTGGTTGGGGTTAGAAGGGACCTTTGGAGATCATCTAGTCCAACTCCCCTGCTAGAGCAGGATCCCCTAGAGCAAATTACACAGGAACACATCCAGGCAAGTTTTGAATGTCTCCAGGATTGAGCTTGTATTCCACCTTGTGCTTACAGACAGCAGGGTCCACAGTCTTTACATACCAAGGACCACGTGTGCATGTAGAGGGCTTTGTCCTCTCTGACTCGTTTCTTCTCCCTAGAGAGGGCATCTTGAAGACTGCCAAGGCACTGGTGGAGGACACCAAGGTGTTAGTGCAGAATGCCACAGCCAGCCAGGAGAAGCTAGCCCAGGCTGCCCAGTCCTCTGTGTCCACCATCACCCGCCTGGCAGAGGTGGTGAAGCTGGGTGCTGCCAGCCTGGGATCTGAAGACCCAGAGACTCAGGTAGGATGGGACGTGTAGGGTGAATGGAGGCCTCTTGTATGTTGCTTGAGAGGCTTGAGGGTTCCAGGTGTCATGTGGTGCTCTGGGCTGCATCCTGCATGTTGTGGAGAGGATTGGCTGGGCTTTGCTGGTGCTAGCAGAGCTGGACCCCCTGTGTGGCCTGCGATACCCAAATTTCTCACTGCTGGGCCACACGACCTGTGTGTCCAGGTGCCTGAGTGTGACCCAATGCAATTGCCCTGGTCTTGCTCTCCCCAGGTGGTCCTGATCAATGCTGTGAAGGATGTGGCCAAGGCACTTGGAGACCTGATTGGTGCCACCAAGGCAGCTGCTGGCAAAGCTGGGGATGACCCTGCTGTCTACCAGCTGAAGAACTCTGCCAAGGTCTGAACTGGGCGTGGTGGGAAGGAGAGTATGGTGCAGAGGGGACTGGAGAAAAGAGTGGGGGTGCTTCCCTGCCTAGCTGGGGGCAGGAGGACAACTGTGGGGCAGGCAGGGCTAGAGGGGAGGAAGGGGTACATGAAAGGCAGGGCACAGCATGCAGACGAGGCATTGAGTAGGAGAACAAGATGAGGTGGTGTGAGAGGAGTATGGGGATGGGGCTATTTTATACCAAACTACAGGGGAGGGACAGGTGCTGGCAGCAGCCTCGAGCTTGCATAGCACTTCACCAGGCTCCCTTTTCCTTTCCACAGGTGATGGTGACAAATGTCACTTCCTTGCTGAAGACAGTGAAGGCTGTTGAGGACGAGGCCACGAAGGGGACGCGGGCGCTGGAGGCCACCATAGAGCACATACGCCAAGAGCTGGCAGTGAGTATGGCCACGGTGCTGCCACCGTCCCTCCCGCCTGCTGCCCTGGGGCTCACCTCTGCCTCTCCCCTGGCAGGTCTTCTCCTCCCCAGTGCCACCTGCCAAGGTCTCCACCCCAGAGGACTTCATCCGTATGACGAAGGGCATCACGATGGCCACAGCCAAGGCGGTGGCCGCCGGCAACTCGTGTCGGCAGGAGGATGTCATTGCCACGGCCAACCTGAGCCGCCGTGCCATCGCTGACATGCTGCGTGCCTGCAAGGTGGGGTGGGGTGGGATGGGATGTGGGACTGGCAAGGTTTGTGGGGGTGCTGCGGGTGCCAGCAGGGTTGGCGCTGGATGCCAATGGGATCTTTCCTGTCTCTGGCTTTCAGGAAGCTGCCTACCACCCAGAGGTGAGCGGGGACGTGCGGCAGCGGGCGCTGCGCTTTGGCAAGGAGTGTGCCGGTGGCTACCTGGAGCTGCTGGAGCATGTGCTGGTGGTGAGTGTTCCCACCACGGTTCCCCTGCTGTGCAGAGGCCACCTGTAGAGCTCCCCGTATCCCCATGGTCTTCTGGGCTCTCCCCTTCCTGCTAAGGTCTTTGCACTGCCCTGTTTACTACCTGTGCTGGCACAGCACATCTGAACTCCTGCCTGGGAAGCAGAAAGATAAAGAGGCTCTGAAGAAAGGTATTTGGCTAACAACAGATGAAGATTAACTGGCTGTAAACAGATGGATGCTGGAAATTTGACAACACAGAAGCAAATCCTGAAGCAGCTTCCAGTAAAAGTGGTGGGAGTAAGAGACTTCAGGCAGTGTGAAAACAGCTTGTTAAGGTCACTGCAGTGTGGGTGGTGTTTTGTGCCCATGATAGCAGAGGTGATGATTGCAAACACCAGCTGCACCCTGTTTATCCAGTCTTCCTCTATCTCAGCCTTCCCAAGAACTTCAGCTGGCTGTTTTCATTAACTGTCCTACAAGACGGGTGTAATTTACAAGAAGCAAATTAAGACTGTAGAGCGGTAGAAAGGATCGAGTGAGGTCCTTCCAGTAGTTTGCATTCTTGGCAAGTTTGCAAAGGTGGAGTCGAGGGTACTGGAGAGATGCACAGACCTAGCCCACAGTGCTGCAGGAGCCCTCAAACCAGAGTCAGGAAAAAGACTGAGGGCGAGTCAGGCCTGTAGCAGGGTTTCACTAAGCTGGTTAGAAGGGCTTGGTGGGAGTGTGCCAGTCAGGCTCACCAGACACAAGGCGGTGGAGCTCCGACTGTGGTTTCCTGCAGGGAAAGCTCCTTTAGGCAGAGGTTAACCAGCACTGGCAGCACACAGGGGAGGTGGGCAGGCATCAATTGCTAGAAATTGAAGCTGGGTGGAGAGCAAGTCAAAGGGTTGTTTTATCTGAAGGAAGTAACCATTGGGGTTCAGATTCAAGGAGTACAGTGAGTTTTCCATCCTCTATGTCTAGATCAAATGTCTGTCTGGAAGATGCTTGAGCTACACATAAGTCATGGCAGCCAAGGTTGGAGTGCTAAGGAGAAATTCTCTGGCTGACCTGTTAGCAGATGATTGGGAAAATCGTGACTTAGTGGCACGTGGCAGTGCCTGAGGTCAGCCTACTTGCAGGAACACACTATTCTGCTGTATTTAGAGTGTGACCATCCGGCCACCACACAATGTCTCGTAAATATTTGATACAATCCCATGAAGTGTTCGCTGCAGGTGCATCTTAGTAAGCTCAGCCTCCAGGGTACCTTCAGCTCCAGAGAGAGACCACTTAGCAGTTTTAAACATGTCGCAAGGACAGATAGCAGGCTTAATAACGTGGCATTTAGTCTGGATGAGTGTATGAGGACAAGCCACCCATCTCGTGTGTACCCTCAGCCTGGGGATTCTAAGCCACAGACAGCTCCAGAGACTTTGCTGGGATGGCTTCACACAAGTCCTGGGTAAAGCCATGAGCTCCCCAGCTTCTGCAGTACTCTAGTCTGCAGAGGCAAGAACGAAGCACGTGGGGTCCCATTTATCAGAGGGCAGCAGGTCCCTGGAAAGCCGCAAGCAGGAAGGATGTAAGGGAATGGGAGGGGAGATGGTGGATGTGATGCTGCCTCACTCCCCAGCAGCAGCAAGCCCATTACTGTGTGCTGGGTCCCCATGGGGATCAGTGCCTTGCATGGAATGTGAATGAGCATGGTTAGGGTTCAAGAAAGAGGGTTATTTGACTCAGGATGGAAAACGTGTCTCCCAGCAGAGGAGTGGGAACGCCTGCATATTTCACTGGGGAGGGGAAGGAATTTCAACCGCCACGGGGACTCGGTATTTGGTAACAATAGGTCTCTCCCTGCAAAAGCAAGAGAGATCTGGTGACTGAAAACTGCAGTGAAGCAGTTCAGAGTCGGGAGAAATAAGATTTAAAGGGGGCAAGGAGGAGAGTGGCTCTGTAGCTGCTCTGGGTGTGGGTGGCTTGTCCAGCCTTGAGAGCCTCATCCAGGTGCTCCCCCAGCACTGCCAGGCTGAAGTATGAGCTAACGATGGCAGCACAGCTTCTCGCCTGGGACCTCTGATCCTTCATTCCCACCTCTCTTGGCTGTGCTGCACTCCCTACTGGAGAGCACCTACCTCTCCTGTGCTCCCCATGCCCCTGTCCCCAGCATCCACGTGTTCTGGCCAGGCTGTTCACTGCTCTTTCTCTCTCTTCTCCCTCCCTCTCTCCCTGTCAGCCGGTGAGTAAGGTGGCGTTGGGATGCCTGCTGGTGTCTAACCTCAGCATGAGCCTTGCTCACAGTGTGTCTGTGTGCCCAGCCCAGTGCTGGGGTGGCACTTGCGTGTCCACAGGGACCCCAGGGTCCGTGTGTGTGTGTGTACTCACACCTGCTCTAGCTGGTGGGCAGCTGCTGCCTGTGCAGTGTGAGTTTGGTCAGGGTGAGCTCTGCTTGTGCCTACAGACCCTGTTTGTGTGTGTGTGTGCACACGTGTGTGCTGTGGTCTTTGCATGTGTCTCACCCTGCTGAAGGACCCTCGTAGCTCTGCCTGCCACCTTGTCCCAGCAGGGACAGCCCTCCTGGGCTGGGACATGCCTCCAGGGTCCCCCCCTTTGCCCAGCTTTTGTTTGCAGACAGATCTCCAAAGAGGGAACAGCAAGGGGGAAATGCTTCAAGAGCCTGAAATGCTTTGTTGGGATAGAGATCTTGGAGGGGGTAGCTGCTGAGTGCAGGAGGGCTTGTTCCAAACATCTTGTTTCGGTGAGATGTCCCAGAAGCTGTGGATGTAGAAGAGTTAAGGGGAAGCTCATCCCATCCTCAGGCCAGAAGAGACCAGCCAGGGCCACTCAAGAAAGCATCACGGACAACACCTGATGTGTAGATGCGTGGAGAGCTTGGGGATCCCAGCCTCCTTCCCTGGCCAGTGTGACATCCCCCTTTTCCAGATGCTTACACCTGCTCCTTCCCCACAGATCCTGCAGAAACCAACTCACGAGCTGAAGCAGCAGCTAGCAGGCTACTCCAAGCGCGTGGCCAGCTCTGTCACTGAGCTCATCCAGGCAGCCGAGGCCATGAAAGGTGAGGAAAAGGTCCCGCTCAAAGGGGCAGGACTGAAGGCTGGGACTAGGCTGGAGGGGCTAGGTAGGACGAGTCAGAAATGAGGCTGCACGCAGGTTTAGCCTTCTTTGCTTCCTGGTGTTACTAGGGACGGAGTGGGTTGACCCAGAAGACCCCACCGTCATCGCTGAGAACGAGCTGCTGGGGGCAGCGGCTTAGGCTGCTGCCAGGAAGCTGGAGCAGCTGAAACCAAGAGCCAAGCCCAAGGTAGTGGTGCTAAGCCTTGGCTGAATCCCAAGCTCAGGTCGGGGTGGACTGGGGCTATCTTGTCAGTGCTTTGGCTGGGTGTGAACAGTGGGAAGCCACATCCAATGGCTGGTCCCTCTTCCGTGGCTCCTCCTGCATCCCATGTTCCCAGCTGGACTTTTCCATGAGCAGTCCAAACCCTCTGGTCCCCCACAGCCCTTAATCCAACTCTATATGTGCTCCTTCAGCCCCTTGATACCATCTTGCTCTGCCTGAACTGTCCCAGCACCCCTGCCTGGGACTCACACCCTGCTTTTGCCTGCAGCAAGCAGATGAGAGCCTGAATTTCGAGGAGCAGATCCTGGAAGCTGCCAAATCCATTGCTGCAGCCACCAGTGCCCTGGTGAAGGCAGCCTCAGCAGCCCAGCGAGAATTAGTGGCCCAAGGAAAGGTAAAGGAAGAGGGAAAGAAAGAAGAAAATGTAGGGGTGTGGTGGATTCTCCCTTCTCCCAGGGCTGTTTGTAGGCCTTGTGCCCCATGGCAAGGGATGCACAGGGCAGCAAGCCTCACTCCTCCATTCTCACAGGTGGGCGCCATCCCCGCCAATGCAGTGGATGATGGACAGTGGTCCCAGGGACTCATTTCAGCTGTGAGTATCAAGGCCATGCTTGAGGGATGAGGGAGACCTTCCTCTTGGTTCCTATTGCAAAGATGAGGCTGCTTTGGCCTTGTGCTTCTCCTCGGTGGAGGAAGCAGCCGTGCTTTTTGCTCCCTCTCCCACCAGCTGAGACATGGCAAGGAAGCTGATTGTCTTCATGCTCTGCCCCACAACCTCCTTGGTGCCAGTCCAGGAATATTCTCCCCTGGGTTGGCTCCTGTACCCCCCCTGACAGCCCCTCTCACCACAGGCACGCATGGTGGCTGCTGCCACCAACAACCTGTGCGAAGCCGCCAATGCAGCAGTGCAGGGCCACGCCAGCGAGGAGAAGCTCATCTCATCTGCCAAGCAGGTGGCTGCCTCCACAGCACAGCTCCTGGTGGCCTGCAAGGTGAAGGCTGACCACGACTCAGAAGCCATGAAGCGGCTCCAGGTGAGTCCCAGGCTGCCTTCCCCAACCCCAGCTGCTCAAGGCGTGGGTGGGAGTGGGGTGAGGGCACGTGGGTGCTCCCCAGAGCTTGTGCTCTCTGCCTGCTTTCTGTCAGCAGGGAGATCATTGGAGCACAGGCTTCAGGTCGATTTGGCTTCACTGCTAGCTGCGTGCCAGGTGTATGAGTGATGCTGGGCTGCTTGAGCCCAGTGGTGTTCAGGGGAATGCCTGAAATATGTGCACTGCATCCCTAGCATTTGTGAGGTTCATGTTAGGGGAGCATATTTGTAGCACCCTTAATCCTCAGAGGCACACAAGATTAATGCCCACACATTGGGGGTTCGACGTCGGGTCCCAGCTCTGGTCCCTTGGGTTCAAGAGGAGGGTTGGTGGGTCTGCTCCCCTGGTGCCTGCCTGACTGCTCAGACAGGAGCCAGAGCTTGGCTGGGAGCAGCAGAGCCTGAAATGGTTATGAGTGGCTGCCAAGGCAGCAAGCCATGTAAAGGAATCCCTGCCTGCAGCTCCAAGCATGCCTGGCTGCCTGTCCTGCCTGCCAGCTTGGCCTGGGGCAGGGGCTCCTTCACACCCCCCGCCTCAGGCTGCCATCGTGCTCTGGGAATGGGGCTCAAGCTGATGCCCTCCTCCTTCCCACTGCAGGCTGCTGGCAATGCGGTGAAGAGAGCGTCAGACAATCTGGTGAAGGCAGCACAGAAGGCAGCTGCCTTCCAGGACCACGATGAGACCGTGGTGGTGAAGGAGAAGATGGTCGGGGGGATTGCACAGGTGAGGAGCAGTGCTGCTTTCATGGGGCATGGGCAGCAATAGCTGCCACCGCAACCTGTGTTAGCGTGGGAACATCCCCTACCACGCACTGCCATGGGATACATCTCCAGAGAGCTTAAAAAATAAGGTGGGTGCATCCATACCACCTAGTTAAGCACTGTGGCTTCACCCTCACCCTGCCACATGTAGCAGTGGGCACAGCCAATCATCGTGCATGCTCCACGACCATAACACCCTGGATTCTCCTTGGTGTGGTGCCCACACTATTCCAGTATCCCTTACATGTGTGAAGGACAGAGCATTGGGTAAGAGGTGACATCTGCCCAGTGTGGGCTGCCTCAGGCCCCAGCGCTGCCCTGCAGCCACAGGCTTGCAGCTTGGAACAGGGCATGTGGGGCTGAGCCCTGGGCGCTGTGCTGCTCCCCCTTATCTCCAGAGGACTCTGGCCCCACCCCAGGGACAACAGCCCTCATGTGTGGGGTCGCACTAGCCCAGGGGGGCTGTGAAGGGGGAGAAGCAGCAGCAGAGAGCCTGGCCTTGGCATCAGCCTTGTCCCAGCCATCCCTGTCAGAAGCAACTGGTGACCCCAGGGCCCTCTCCCGGCAGATCATCGCCGCCCAGGAGGAGATGCTGCGCAAGGAGCGGGAGCTGGAGGAGGCGCGGAAGAAGCTGGCCATGATCCGGCAGCAGCAGTACAAGTTCCTGCCCTCGGAGCTGCGGGATGAGGAGCAGAACTGAGCCTCATGCTCTCCCGCCGCTCACTGCACAGACTGCTGCCCGCCCGCTCCTATTTAAGATGACCCGGCTGAAACAAAGGGCTGCCTGGGCTAGGCCAGAGCTCTGCCCGCACCCAGAGCGCCGGGACTAACCCAGTTGCTGCTCCAAGCCGGTGCCGCACCAGCAGCTCCGCTTTGCCGCCCAGCCCACCTGCCCTTGTGCACCCAGGCACGGCCAGAGCGCCCGGAGGGACCTGGCTGGGCTGGGAGCTGGGGCTGCACCGGCTCAGGGCTCACCCACCAGCCTCAGGGTGCGGGGCTGGAGAGCTCCACCATAGGGGATATTTCTGTGTGCCTTTGTCTGTCCTGCTCGTGCTCCTTTCTCCTCTCCTTACCCGCTTCTCTGCAGTGAGGCTCAGGGAGCAGCACAGTCCCTCCCTGAGCTCTTGCACGGAGCCGCCTTTCACCTCCAATGCCTTATTGCTGGCTGAATCTTCCTCCTCTTCTTCTTGTTCCTCCCCAGCTTCCCTGGGAGGCACTGACCTCCCCTCCATGAGCATCTTCTTCAGCCAGGGCTCCTCTGGGGAACAGCAAGGCTGGAAGCAGTGCCTCTGCTCAAGACGGGAGGTTGGGAAGCTATGGGTCACCCCCAGAGCTGATCTTTGCCTTCCTGTGGGGCTTTTCCCCTTCCCGTGCCCCCAGCCAGCTCTGCCTTCTTTATCCTTCCCAAGTGCCTGCATCATTTTCCAAGATCCACAGTATTTTTGTAACTTCCCATTTCTCTAGTATTGAACCTGCAGCTTTCAAAGTTCATTTATTGCCTCTACCCCAGCTTGTGCCCTTCCCACTAACACCCAGCTCTCACCGGGGTCCCACAGCCCAGCATCCCACCCCTCCTTGGCTCCAGGACCCCTGCCCCTTCCCCCTTTGCACTTGCTGAGGCTTCTCTCACTATTTTGATACTTTAAGCATCCCATATTAAACTTTGAAGGAAACCAGCTCCCTCCGAAGCTCCGGGGTGGGGTGGGGGATGCCGATGTCTCCTTGAAAAGACGCATTCATCAATAAAATCTGATTTTCCTGCTTTCTAGCCGCCTGCCTATCAATGGAACCCCTGCCAGGAGAAAGGTGGGGGAGGGGGCTGGTGGGCAGGGGGCCCACGGGTGCCTGCCCTCCCAGCAGAGACGGGGGGGTGGGGGGGAGCGTGTAGCACGGGTGCTTATACAGCATGGAAAATATTTGAGGCACGTCCAGCCCCAGGCACCCGGCGGGCCGGACCCCCGCTGCCAGCCATGTGCTGGCCCTCGCAGGTTCTGCCGCGGGAAGGATCCCTGGGGATTTTGTTGCTGGGGGATTTGGTCTTTGGGAAGGGGAAAGGGGGGT